TGTGTGTGTGAGTGTGTGTGTGTGTGTGTGTGTGTGAGTGTGTGTGTGTGCGTGTGTGTGTGTGTGTGTGTGTGTGTGTGTGTGTGCGTTTGTGAGTGAGTGTGAGTGCGTGTGTGTGTGTGTGTGTGTGTGTGTGTGTGCGTGTAAGGTCAGATTTGATTACCTTGTGCGGTTCTCCAGAGATACAGTGCACACAGATAAGAGCTTCCAAACTCACAGAGCTCTCAGCGGCACACCAAAAATAATGTTGGACACGACTGTGTATGATTCCCATTTTTTATGAATCTTATTCGAGCTGAAGCTGATTTGCCAAACTTTCAGATTTGAGACTAAACTAAAAAGCATTATGAATCACCAACAAAGATCTGTTTCCAGACTGAAGGCTTGTTCACACAAACAAACACCAGCGCTTCAGTCAGCAGCAGCAGTCGACCGAGAGGGATTTTATGATGGCCAGTGCTGATATCAGAGAGAGCCGGGTGGATGATGATGACCGATAGAAAGCTGATGTATCAGGGTGTGTTTGCACGACAGCGGTGGACTAAAAATGGACGCTGTTGGAAATGAACCCCATTCACACTGATCTGTGAGAACGACTAAAAGGCTAAGCCAGCAGCTGGCGATGTCACTTTGGGAAGAAACTCACACATGCATATAGACTAAACATGGGCATGACGTCATCATTTTCACAAATGAGCATTTTTGTAGTTTACGCGGACACAATCACTGTGTAATTTTCAAAAACTGACACTTTGAAATCCATTTTCAAGAGTTTATGTTTTCAGACTCCCCAACAGCCAGAGCACACAAAACGTTTTCCGTTGTTAGTTGAGACCAGTATCATGTAAACGCCGCCTCATATTACATTTGGAGTCACAGAAATTACAATATAGCATCTTTTCAATTCTGTAATCCCATTATTATATTTTCCACAAATGAAGAAATTATAATGTTTAATATTTCAATGCTATAATAATTTTTCATTTACCATTTAGTTTTTTGTTTAACATTTCTGTCTTGTAATTTATTAACCAGAACTGTTAAACACAGACAGTGAGCTAATGAAGATGGAGCTCCTGTGTGTCTGTGTGACAATCTCAGCGCTGTCAAAATAAAAGTCCCGCTTCTGTCACTTATTGGCCAAACAGAAAATGTATTGGCCGATGTTGATAATTAAAAAATGGCACATACTGACAATTGTCAATTCAAGTTAAATATGGTTGAGAATTGTTAATTAAGGTCTTGGACACCAAGAGCGAGACAAATTGTAGATGAAAGGCCTGTTCACACCAGGAGCAAGACAATATTGTCAAACTGAATGAAAACCAGCTTCACTCCAGTTCAATAGATGGGGCTAACTAACAACCAAATTGACTCCAGTGCATTAGATGGCTGTAAAAATGGGCTTTTTTACCCCATTTAGGCAGTGGCCATTCTGGAAACATGTCACAGTTGCACTGGAAAACCAAAAGAACAGCTCTGCACGGTGCCTTAAAACTGCTGCTGTGAACACCAGCAGCTTCTGACCATGTGAACCATATGAGTACACTGACGAAAAAAAGGTTGATTGGTTATATACTTAACTCATATGAGCATTATAAGCAGTGCATAATGGTATAAAGATGAATTAAACAACTTTGGACATAAAAAATGTAAGATGTGAAACGCAAAGGCCATGATAGGGCATGCTTATTTGTGGGCAGGTTATGTAGTAACAGTTTTGGCATCGTTGGCTCTCAGGCAGTGGATTTGTGGGCTGTTACTGAGAGATTACTGGCCATGCACCAGCAGCGTTTCACTGGAATTGAGTTCCTGAAATAGCAGCTGGCGCTTTGCTTTTTAAAGTGGGTGGAAGACAAACAAACAGGCCATCCTAAATGCACATAGTTCCTCGATGGGAAGCACTGGTTGATTAGCGGTGAGACGGCTGATAACTGATCTCTCCAGCACAGATCCTGACCCCAGGCCCGCAGGAGAGAGACAGGAGATGAGGCTTCCTGAGGAAATGCCTTCAGAGAAACACAGACATTCATGCTGCATGCTCACAAATCAGTGTCTGAACCGGTGATTAAAGAGCAAAAACAACAGAAAACTTACTTGAGGAGTTGCTTCGGGATATTTTTTTAGAGCATATGTGTCCCTGCTGCACAAAGGCAGTGTTAAGTCGCTGGGGGATATTTGTAGAAATAGCCAACAATACATTGTATGGGTCACAATTATACATTTCTCTTTTATGCCAAAAATCATTAGGATATTAAGTAAAGATCATGTTCCATGAAGATATTTTGTAAATTTCCTAAATATATCAAAACTTAATTTTTGATTAGTAATATGCATTGCTAAGAACTTCATTTGAACAACTTTAAAGATGATTTTCTCAATATTTAGATTTTTTTGCACCCTCAGATTCCAGATTTTCAAATAGTTGTATCTCAGCCAAATATTGTCCTATCCTAACAAACCATACATCAATGGAAAGCTGATTTATTCAATTTTCAGATGTTGTATTCCACAAAAAAAGTATGCATCTAACAGTTCAGTAAAGCTTGGACAGCAAGGCTTCTCAGTGCAGTGATTTGCTTGGCTGTTTGGCCTGTCAGTTATTTATCTGTAGTAGGATCAATTTACTGTCTCAGTGATTAAGAAAGAGTTGTTAGGAAAGTTTTTCCCAGATTAACTTCACAAGAATCGCACACTGAAGCTGGTGGCCCCTGAGGAGAATGTGTGAGATCTGGACTGTAGATGTTCAAAGAGTCAAGCATAGTGCACGGAGTGATTTAAAGCATGCATTGATTGAATGGATGCTGTAAATGTATGCATCGGCTGATGTGTTGCTTCTCAGTTTTTTAACTGTATTTGAAGTGTGTCTCAAAGGCTTTCTGATGCTCAAGCAGATCAATGTTATGAAAGCATCCCAGTGTTTTAATGTGACTCTGAAAGATTTAAAACAGTTTAATAGCCAGAATCTGTTTCAGGTGAGAATAACAGTCACTGGAGAGGCTGTTGTTGTGTTTTGGCCTGTGATTTGATGGATGATTCAATTAACACCAGTCAGTTATTGTTGTTGTTGTAAACAAGGCTCACAGTACACAGTGCACTGATATGAGTATCAAATCAATTAAAGCTTATCAAATAAAGCTGCACAATTAAACAAGTAATGGAGATGATGATGCAGTTCATCGTGAAGTGTTGATTGCTGCGCTGCTTTCAGATCTGCTTCTCTTGTATCAGTGGATTGTGTGTATAACGTGTTTTTGCTCTAGTTGAGCAATGAGTGATGTGATGACAGCCGAGAATCAGGCTTTAAATGAGTGTCAGGAACTACAGCTGCTCTTATTCTAATCACTCAGGAGTAGATGTGGTGATTTTCAACATTTAATCATCACAATTACAGTATCAAGGGAAATAATTAATCAAGCAATGCCATTATTGTTATGCTCGTGGAGCTGTAGAATCAAAGCCGTGGTAATTGTGGAGAAATCTACAGAACATGATCTGGAGATCTGATGTGAGTGAGACGGTGAATCAGCAGCGTCTCGTCCTGCTTCATCACCCCATCTGTGTGATTCTGATGGTTTATGATGCTCAGATTGTGAGGAAGTCACTTCAGGCTGCTAAATATGTTGTTTATCTTGCAGATCTTCTGCAAAGCAGGCAGCGTGCCACTCGGACAAGTACGTGTTCCTCCCTTCATGTCTCTGTGTAGTGCACTTCAACCCCTCACTACCCTACTACTGAGGGACTAGACGCAGATTCACCCCACTGTGTTTGCAGTAGTCAGAACCGTCATCTTATCCATTATTTGAGGGATGCACGATATATCGCTGACCAAATCAGTATTTTAACTTCTGGTTTGGCTGATATGCTGGAAGCAGATAGTATCACAGCTTATTGTGTCTGTTTTAGCCAACAGTGAGCCAGGTTACAGAAGTACTGTAGGAGGCACAACATGTGTGAAAGTAATGTTTTGCTTCCTGATTTAAGCAAGTACAAGTCTAGATTGTTGATCCAGTCTAATATACAAAATTACAGTAAATTATTTTGCTGTCAAATTTAAAACAAATGTACTAAACATTATGACAATTATATATCAGTATATATATTTAAATATATATATTTAAAGAAATTAATACTTTTGTCCATCAAGGATGCATTAAATTGATCAAAAGTGACATTTATAATGTTACAAAAGATATCTATTTCAAATAAATGTTGCTCTTTTCAACTTTATATGCATCTGTGAATCCTGAACAATAACATGCATCACAGTTTCCACACAAATATTGTGCAGCACAACTGTTTTCAATATTGATAATAATCAGAAATGTTTCTTGAGCAGCAGATCAGCATATTATACTGATTTCTGAAGATCATGTGAGACTGAAGACTGGAGGAATGATGCTGAAAATACAGCTGCGCATCACAGAAATACATTACAGTTTAACAGATATTCACACAGAAAACAGCTGTTTTAAACTGTAATAATATTTCAAATTTTTACAGTTTTTTATGGTATTTTTGATCAAATAAATGCACCCTTGGAGAGCAGAAGAGATGTCTTTCAAAAACATAAACAAAATCATACTTTTTCCAAACAATAATGTGTTTATCGGTTCTCAGCAGAATTATTACTGGCATCAGCCAAAATGTCAATATCTGTGCATCCCTACATTATCCCTGTTTATATTCCTGTTTATATCAATCTAATGATGAACTAAATATCTGAAGGCTGAGAAAGAGCTTTAGTTGTGATTGTGACGGTCCTCATTCACACCTGTAACCTGAGGCAGACGTGTGTGATCATCAGATCTGTGTGTGTGTGTGTTTATTGATTCCTCTGTGTGTGTGTGTGTGTGTGCGCAGGTGTTAAGAAGGCCCCGGCCCCGGATGATGAGGAGTTAGTGAGTCTGAGTAAGCGGCTGGTGGAAGATGCTGTGTTGCGGGCCGTGCAGCAGTACATGGAGGAAACTCAGCAGAACGGCGCCGCGCCGAGAGACCAGGCTCCGCTGGGGGCCGCCAGCAAACTCAACACCACCAAATGAGCACGAGAGCCCTGAGCCGTCCCCCGAGCCGACCGCCGGAGAGCCACAGTGCCTCCACCTGCCAGCGGCGCCAGAGCGCAGCCGAGAGCGATTGAGCTGAAGAGAAGGGCTGTGGAGATCAGGCCGGATCTCTGGACAAACACAGCACTCAATCTGAACTTTATTTCCCTGCCTTCCCCGTCCTGCATCACTCCTGTCTGTGTGAATTGGTAACACTTTATTTTGATGATCCCTTTTGAGCATTCTGTCGATTAGGGCTGGGAAATAAATTGATGCATCTCGAATCGAGAAATGATTCGGCATCGATTCTGAGATTTTCCGAATGCATGGCGATTCTTTCTCGAGTTGATCCTGAGCTTAGTTTTGAACAGCAGATGGCGCTGCATGCTTTAGCGACAGCCGGACTCTGCTTGTTTCCAAATCCTTGCACACACTCTAACCTAAAATAATCATTCATAAAATTCGAAAAGGTTGAAGCGAATCTCAAGGGTGTTCACGGTGGGCTGTGTTTACATTAATCTGGCGTCATAAAAGCGTTCTGAGCCGAGGTGAAATTGCAGACTCAGCGAACGCACAAGCGCTCTTCAGCGCTCTTCTTCATGAGCGTTTGAGTGTGCAGATGAAAACTAGAGTAGAGAGTCATCTGCTGTTAAAATCTAAGCTCAGAATCCATTCCAGAGAGAATCACGATGCTTTCGGAAGATCTCAGAATCCATCCACGAATCGATTCTGCATCGATTTATCATCACAGCCCTACTGTTGACTATAAGTAGCTTTGCACCTACAGGTCAACTAACTCTCATTAGAGTATTAGTAGACTGTCTTCTTAATGTCTGATAACTAGAGCCGTCAAACGATTAATCGCGATTAATCGCATTCAAAATAAAAGTTTTTGTTTACATATTATATGTGTGTGTGTATGTTTATTATGTATATATATATAAATACAAACACATGCATGTATATATTTAAGAAAAATATGTTACATCTATATATGAAATATATTTATAAGTAGTATAAATTATAGGAATGTAAATATATACATGTAAATATTTTCAAAAGATATACTTTGTGTGTGTATGTGTGTGTGTCTTTATATATACATAATAAATAAACACAATACACACACATATATTATGTAAACAAAAACTTTTATTTTGGATGCGATTAATCGTTTGACAGCACTAGTGATAACTCTTTATTGTGATGGTCTCCCAACAGACATTCTTCTGACTATATATAACTTTGCAAGTACATGTCAACTTATCCTAACCCTAACCCTACCAGTCTACTAACACTCCAGTGAGAGTTCATTGATATGTAAGTGCAATGTTGCTTATAGTCAACGGAATATGTTAAAGGGAGCATCAAAAAAAAGTGAAACCTTTGACTTCATTTGTGATGGATCCTTCAGAGAACGCTGCTGTAGTGTCCGGAGGCGCTTGAGTCAGTCAGTGTTGCTTTGTCATCTTCACATCTGACAATCCCAGCGAACTGCTCAGTCTGACTGCTCATGAACTGCAGGCCTGAAGCCCGATCCAAAGCCAGAGCCGTCAGAACCGCTGTTTGATCTGCTGTGTTTGTGTGTGTGTGTGTGTAACCCTGCATACGTGTGTCAGATGATGGTGTGTGTGTGTGTGTGTGTTGTTTGTGCCGTAGGGTGTGCGTTTGCTCAGAGCAGAATGGATCAGGAAAGAGAGTGCAGGCGGACGCCATAAAGACACTGTTAGCACAGGAAAACGTTCCAGATACATTCGGCCGTCAGAGGAAGTCCACACTGAAGCTCATGGACACACACAACCATCTCAAAGTAAATCACACACACACAGACCTTCACCAACGTGCAAACCAGCAGAACATCTCTCTCACACACACACACACATTAGTTCATACTGACACGAGGCCGGCCTGAAGTAAGCTTAATGTATGATTTTTGAGGGAATTAAAATGTATATGAGCTGATTTGAGCATTTGATGTCTGTAATGCTTCAGATAAGCAGCCACAGTGGCCTTAGAGAAATCACACCTTGTTATGTTGCTGAAGAACATGCCCTTTCAGTTTCGTTTCATTCATGTCCTGATCTTTCTTGAGTTTGGCCGTATTGATGCCGACGCACTGTGATGTCATTGTCTAACGTTTGGTTTCCCACTTTTTTTACTCTTGAAAATAAAGGAGGAGATGACAGCGAGTGAACGTGACTCATTCTCTCCACGGCTCTGTGTTAATGATGGAGGGGGAGTCTGCTGTAGATCAGTCTTGTGTCTCAGAGTCATGTTGGCAGGGTTTTTCTGAGAGCAACGCCTCCGACTTTACGTTTGACTATTTTTCTCTCGTCCTCTGAAATAAGCATTTTGCCTGGCGTCTGCTGAGCGTGAGAGAAATCAAAGCACGAGCCTCGACTCATCCGAGGCTCTGGAGTTCTGACACGAGATCGAGAGGTTTGTTCGAGGTGAAGCCGTCACAGGCAGAAACGAGATTGAGTTTCTTAAGCCCTATTTGGTAATTATTTCTGTAGACGAATGAGTGCATGGATAAAACTTAGGAATTCAGATGCCAAATAATTCACTGAGGACGAGTTTTTAGGACTTAAAAAAAAAAAAGGAATCTGATGAATTGGACGTTCACTTCTCTCATGGTGAATTCTCCACATAATATGTATATAATATACAGTTTGTGTCAAATGTTTTATGTAAATCTAAAATTGTCAAATTAAAACAACTGTTATTTATTGAGAGTCATATAAACGTACACTTTATTTTTAAAAGAAATTAATACTTTTATTTATGTTACAAAATATTTCGGTTTCAAATAAATGCTGTTCTTTTGAACTTTCTATTCATCTGCGAATCCTGAAAAATAACATGCAACAAGGTTTCCACGGAAATATTGTGCAGCACAACTGTTTCCAACATTGATAATAATCAGAAATATTTCTTGAGCAGCAGATCAGCATATTATACTGATTTCTGAAGATCATGTGACACTGAAGACTGGAGGAATGATGCTGAAAATACAGCTGCGCATCGCAGAAATACATTACAGTTTAACACAGATTCACATAGAAAACAGCTATTTTAAACTGTAATAATATTTCAGATTTTTACTGTTTTTGATCAAATAATGAGGTATTGGTGAGCAGAAGAGACTTCTTTCAGAAATATTACGACCCCAAACGTCTGAACAGCAGTAAAATTGTCATGTTGCTTATAAAGGCTCCTTTGAACAGTTCACATGATTCGCCTCTTGAGGTGTTTTCTTTCTTTCTTAAAATCTGTGCAGACGATCTTCATTACACCCAAAATACACAAAAGCTTACAGTGGCACAGCACACAGAGCTCAGATGGAAGAGGATGCCAGACCATGTAAAAACAGGACGCAGTTTGGCCCAGAAGTTTTTTCCTGAGACATGGGAGGAAGGTTTTCAATTCAAGCCACAATTAAATCACCTGTCCACTGCCCGTGGGAGCTGCGTGAAGTCCCTCTGAGAAATAATCTCCATCTCTAACCAGGGCTGGAGCCCACGAGTGTGTCAGAAGAGACTGTAGAGTGAGTGTTAGAGCTGTCATAGCTGCTATTACAGTCATTCTGAATGTGTATGGTCCATTCTCTGCCTGACTTTTATAGTTTCATTTGAAACGGTTTCTTCTGAACTGTCAATAAATCACTGACTGAAGGCTCGAAGTACCACAGAGCAGCTCTTCCCAAAAGAATATACAGTCTGATGTGTGTAAAATGTGATACATTGTGTAATAAATCACACAATTCAGTTAAAAAACAAAACAATTGACATTAATACTGTTAATATTGCACCCTCAGATTCCAGATTTTCAAATAGTTGTATCTCGGCCAAATATTGTCCTATCCTAACAAACCATACATCAATGGAAAGCTTATTTATTTATTAATCAATTTTATAAAATTGACCCTTATGACTGGTTTTGTGGTCCAGGGTCACATATGTATGTATAAATTCACATTTCTCTTTCAAAACATGTTTTGTGCAACAATCATTTGAAGTGTTTTGTGGCTGAAGGTCAGTTCAAACAGGGCTTTACAGTAAATATTACAAAACAGCACATTATTACAGTCAGTGTTCAAAGAAAATGTGTCTGCTGAAAATTCAGCCTTGCATCAGTAATAAATTACATTTTACAATATATTCACATTGAAAAGTTATAAATTGCAATCCTATTTCACAATATTACTGTTTTTACTGCATGTTTGATCAAACAAATGCAGCCTTGGTGTTTGGACGTTTTATAAAAATGAATGTACATATGACGACTGATACTGTGTACTTTTCTATCAAGACCAATATATGTTCTTTAAAAACTGATCACTAGAAAAATGAATAAGAGCTGAACGTTAAGGCCGATGTAAGTGTAAATATGGTGAGGAACAGAAACTTAAACCACTCAAACCACACGATCAAAACATGCTGTGTGAGGTCAGAAAGATGAAGCCACTGTTTTAATGCCACGAAATAACAGGACTGAACTGAGATTAAATTGTGCATGATCTGAGCACTTAATTGAACCAAAGGTCAGTTTTCTGTGAGCAATACTCGACACAAAGCACACACATGTTGACTTCAGCCAGCAGGAAAAGGTTTGGATGTGGCTCAGGCTTCAAGCGTGAATTTGGTACAAACTACTGTATATCTAATCATAATCACAGCTGCCATAAACACATACTGATGCATTAATGAGTATCTGTCCTCTGTCAGCATCATAAACTCATTGATTCTAATCTTCAGTCAGTGTGATTCACAGCTGAATTATGATACATGCAACTAAACATTTATGGTTCCACCTTTGATGTCAGGTTGTTCTGGAGAATCTCTGGCCTCAGTCTATTATTAATATCCATCTCACGGTGCGCTTCCACTGGCACGGAGCGAGCGTTTTCAATTCATTCCTATGGAAGTTTAGCTTAAACGCTCACACGGTGCATTATGGGATTGAAAGCGTTGAGCGGCCGAGAGCGTCAAAAATGTTGGGCATTCCTCGACTTTATGCAAATATCAAATGGAAAACGCCGACAACCAATTGATGTGAAAAGTAGGCAAGGCAAGATTTTGACGTATGTTATTGTTTCTGAGTGTTTGCTGAACTGGTGGATTACTGAGCTGAAATCACTTGTCGTTGAAAAAGTAAATGCACTTTGCATGCTTTCATTATAACCGCTGTTAAAGAAGAAGATGAAATGCAAACAGGGTGTAAATGTTGATTTAAGAGGCGTGCTCTGCCCTAAATTTGACACGCTCCAAAGCTGTGGCGTTGTAGCATTGCGCAGATTTGACGCTGTAGTGGAAACGCACCCGTAAGGTGATCTGTCACTCTTTTAAATCTTTAGGAAAATGTGATGTTGCACACAAATTGCTCATAGTCATTTTGGAGGAGTAGCTGTACCTGCTCACATGTAATTTAGCTGTTTTATCCAAAGTGCATGCAGAATCCCGTCATGTGAAGTCTGTGTGTGATTTTCCCAAATGTACTTTCTAAACCAGGTTGTTTTCTTTTAAAGCTGCTGTTCACTGGGAATGTTTGATTGACAGGTGAGTAGGCGGAGCTTCACATGGTCCAGGACACGTTCGGGATGGATGGACATTTAAGTGTTTCTGATGACCTCCATATGTGGATTCAGTGATCATGAAATGTTTTAGACCGTGTTTACACCTGTATTCAGAGCTGATCACTTGTGACTGGATCATAAACAAGCACTTATTAACAAGAGGAAAGAGGGCCATAAACAGACACACAGATCAGTCTGCTTTTATTGATAAGGTGTATGGATCTCTGCATACAAAATATTATACAATTAAAACTCTTCAAAAATTAAGATTTTTTTTAACTGAAGTGAGATAAATGTCAAGAGGTCAAACTAAATATTATATGTGACCCTGTCTTAAGTGTCAATTTTTCGAAATTGTGATTCATGCATCATCTGAAGGCTGAATAAATAAGCTTTCCATTGATGTATGGTTTGTTAGGAGAGGACAATATTTGGCTGAGATACAACTATTTGAAAATCTGGATTCTGAGGGAGCAAAACAATCAAAATATTGAGAAAATCATCTTTAAAGTTGTTCAAATTAAGTTCTTAGCCATGCATATTACTACTCAAAAATTAAGTTTTGATATATTTACGGTAGGAAATGTACAAAATATCTTCATGGAACATGATCTTTACTTAATATCCTAATGATTTTTGGCATAAAAGAGAAATGTATAATTGTGACCCATACAATGTATTGTTGGCTATTGCTACAAATATACCCCAGCGACTCAACACTGCTTTTGTGCTGCAGGGACACATATATAAGCTTGTTTCTATTTATTTTTAGGAGGAAATTTTGCAACCTTGTTACCATATTTTGGGGCATGTCTGTGTACAGTTTGTATTGTTATAAAAAATACTGCAAAAAATTAAAATTTAAACATAAAATTGAAATACTTTTTTTTCACTTCCTGGGTGTCACACATTTAAGGAATGTTACATTTTATTGTAATGGCCAAAACTATGCAATAGCAAAGCTGCACTTAAAAATCTAAACAGATAAATATGTTTTTAGTAATTCATTCAGTATTTTACTGCAGTGACGCTGGAAACAGGGTCGTAGATTTCAGACACACAGTTTTCCTTTCTTCCACATTTTCAAGGCATTTGTAACCTTAACAATAATGTGTCTGAAATACCAAAGCAACAAACAGCGGTGTAAATACTTTACTATCTTACCTTGCCAGATCTCTAAAGGGCATTTCCCCAGCTTCATCTTTACTGCAGAAATAACTGCAAATATGCAGACAGATGAGCTGAATAAAGCCTTCATGCCCTCTGATGTCTGTATTTGTTTTCAGTTATTCATGAGGAGAAACTTCATTGGGCATGAATGTTTTAAAGCTCATATTTTCCTCAGACAGGTAATAGCGCTGGGTTTGTTTGTTTGTG